CAGCTGCCTGCAAGACCCTATGAGAAGAATAACTCTAGAAGTGTTCCTTTGAAAACAGGAGCATGAAAGGTGTGAAAGATTGAGGCAACAAAGAGAATACTTACTTACCTTCTCAAGATATTCAGGCAGTCACTGCCACTGACATCACTGGCTGGTAGTTCCTAAAGTACTTCTGGAACCTGCCTTAACCCCCATGAAAAAGCTTCTTCCTGGGTCTTGTTGTAGGGAACCCTTATAAACAGGTCACCTCTGTGTGTCACAGCTAAGTGAATCTCCTGAAAGTGAGAAGCAGTTTGCCCTTCTTTGGCTTGTCTGGTAGGAGCAGTTGCCTTTCTGTAACAAAGATAAGAAATGCCTGTATGCCCACCTGGTATGCTATACCGTCACTTTACTAAGACATGAAGAGTTAGTGTGCAAGAATGGGATTTCAGCAATGTTAAGGACAAAACCCAAGCTGAATACACAGCTCAGAGTGACACCAACTTTGGTATAACCTTCCACATGCTGATATTTTTTGAGATATATTTCCAGATCATTGGCATGATCAGCAGCAAGTGACTGGTGCATTTCTTACCTTCTTTTCTATCAGATATTTGCAATATGGACTTGGTGATACATTATTTTCTTCTAACTGTACTTCAACCGTCATCTTAAATGTGGTGGCTAAGGATATTGGGCACCGTATGGCCTGGGAATTTGTTACCGAAAATTGGTCACTTTTAAGTGAAAGGTAAGTTAGCAGCTTTAGCTTCCTTTTATTTCTGTGGCCCTTTGGCTTCTTCCTCCATCTTTACTTTAAGCTGTAAAATTCGGGTGAAGATTTCCCTCCACAGGTGGCTATTTGTAATGATTGATTCAATTTCTAAAGTGTGCAGAACAGAGTTTTCAGAGGATTCAACTATGATCATGGCTTAATGTCAAAGAAGAGCTCATGTCAAACATAGAACACTTTAAAAATTAGTCTGTTCATGACTGTTTCAGTGCTTTTAAGTGTTAGGTTTCCTGGAAACTCTGACTTTAGAAATAGAGTTTATCTACTAGCATTTCACAAGCATGGGTGTAAAATGATGGAACAAGATCATAACCTTTTTTCCAAAGAGAGTAGGGATAGATGGGGGATTAGAGCATGCAGCTGGGCAAGCACTGGTAGGACAAACTACAATATTATTCCCTGACTTAAGTCCTAATCCACCTCCAGCCTATCTGCACTGTTGCAGGTAAACTGGAGGTGAGGTTGGGCTACCTGTCTTGAGCAGAGCAAGTATTTTGATGTCTGAAGACTCCCTCTCTCCTTGGCACTGGTGAAAAGCAGTAGGGCTGCTGACAGAGTACATTCCAGCTGCGTGATGGCAGAGAAGGTCACTGTGATCCATTAGTGGCAGCATAACCAAAACCAGCCATTTTGTACATTCAAATGTGTAACTTTATTGCTAACACTAGAAAAGGCAAGTTGTAGCAGATTTGCATCATACCAACTTGTTCCCTCACAAAGCTTTTCTGTGTTGATGAAATATTTGCTGGGAAATTGACCCATTATTTTCAAACTAAAAGAATAGTGCGAGTGTTTATTTATACACCATCCTCAGATACCAACAGAAACACAAACTCATTAGAATCAGTACTGCTTAGCCTTTCTAGCTCAGTTTGGCTGTGTGGGTTCACAAAGATTATCTGTTTTGGGCAAAGAATTCATGTCACCAAAGTAAAAATACCAGATCTTACTAGGAAATGGAAATGAAGGATAATTATTGTGCTTCATCCTGCTAAAATGTCTAAATTGAATGTTAATGGTATTTCTTTAAAAGGGAAAAAGAGTACACAATTACAAAGTTCAGCTTAGTTGGTATTTACAACAGAGTGAATAATAACTAACTAGTGTAAGTATTTTCAAATGAGATGAAATTTAGTATATTTGCTAGCATGCTGTTTGAAGGACCTTTATCTCAATTTTACAGATATGGGCAGGAATTGTTGCATGATGTATTAAAAGTCATGGGAAGATTTGTCAATACAGATGTACAGATCCAAGAGGTAAATCAGAGAAGCTTTATTACCAGTTTTAACTTTATTGCCAGTTTGTAAATACAGGTTTTTACATCTCTTGTTTTTTAAAGAAATCATAGGACATAATTTTGATGTGTTCCAAACCTTCAGGTTTGGAGCTGAGTCCCAATAAATTCTATCAAAACTGTCTCATTTTTCTCTATAAAATCTATCTGTAGAGATAACCTTTGCCATGATGTCTACAGAAAATGCACCAGAAGTTGGGCTGCTGGCACATTAGGTTGTCATACTGGCATCTGTTTAATTTCTCATATTGTTTGTTCACCGCTCCTCCCATATATTTCTTCACTATTTTTCAGTACTCTCTTTTCTTTTGCTTATTAGACTGATGGGAAAGATTTCTTGTTCTGTGAATGTAAAACAGGCAGCACAAGAGGATTCTGCTACCCAACTAATCCTAGACAGTGTGGTACCACCGGTACCAGTGAAGTTGGCTGCATTTGAAAGGATTTTAGAGGAACAGCAAAAGGGCACATTCTTGATATGTAAGGAGCTTTCCAACCTTAGTGTAAATCAGTAAGCTTGCCCCATCCCCTCTTTAGTCTCTGTCGTCTCCTTCTTTTCTGTGCACTTCTATCGAAAGCATGTGCCAGGCACTCAGTTGCTTGCTCCTAGTGAAGTTATCTGAACTAAGCTCATGCATTTATTTCTTCAGTTGCAAGTTTTTTATAATGCTACGCTGGAAGAGGACGAGAGAGAGGCTACTACTCTGCTACTGGAGTCTACAAAATCTGAAAATATTGAAAGGAAAAAACTACTAATCAAAGTTGCCAGCTGGTTAGAGAAAAATGTAGATGATTGACTTGGAAAACAATTTCCAGTATATTTTAGAGTGTGATTCAGTATCATCTTGGTATTCATTTTAAGCTGTAATTAAAGATAAAGCACATTTTTATGAGTCCCGTGGTTGTTTTCCCATCTGAAAAGTCAGGCTAAAACAAATCACATAGAAAGTATAAACATATTTGCATATTATATCTAAATTAATTTCCTACTGGATGAGGTTTAGTAGGGATGCATTGCTAATGATGATCTAACGTACAGATACAGTTCTAAATCCTTCATGTTTTCTGAATATCCAAATGAAAGGTGTGGTACAAGTAGGTGGCAAAAACACATGAGGAAGATGGAAAAGGTTATATTCCGTATTTCTGTTGAGCACAGAGGTTTGGAGAGTGGCAACTGGGAAATGCAGCAAGGGAAGGAGAGGTGCATGGGAGGAATCCAGGACAAGCTGGGAATGCTACTTTATTGCAAAGAGAGTTGGAATGAAAGGAAGTTCATTGAAAATGAGTATGAGGACATGGATGGGACTCCAGGAATTGAACTTTAATAGTACCTATGAGGTCTGTGCTATGGGACATGTAATTGTGAAGACGTGCGTGTACAGGGCAATTTCCAGTGAAAAAAGCTGTGTCATTGATAGACAGGATGCATCCAGTAGGCCCTGGGGGGGGAAAAAAACATTTGATGAAAAAAGATCAGCTTTTTGCCTTAAGTCCTGCTCTCTGCCTTGAGAGTGTGGAAGTCAAAAGTTACACTTGTTCTTCCTTTACTGCATCCGTGTATGACAGGGCAGCAGACTTTGAAGCTGGCAACAATGCATGCCAAGCAGTTCCCAGTAAAAACAGAGACTTAGAGCTGTTTAAGACAAGGTTCAAGGGTACCAGCCAACTTCTCCTCTGCACCTCCTGGCATAGCTGCCCTGCTGCCCCATTCTGCCTGCATCTCCTTTCAATCCTGGCACCTCAAGAAGCCTCCCAGGCAGATGAGGAGAAAGCAGCTGGTTGTGGGGCCTAGGTGGCCAAAGTGCAAGCCCTATGCCTCCTGGCTGCATGATGGCATGCATGGATGAGGTGGGTGGAGCAGCCTTCTGCTTCTTTCAGGGTTGTTCCAAATCCCAGAAGGGTCAGTATGAGGTAGGCAAAAGGAATGGGGACTAAAATGCCATAAAATAAACTGAGATGTGGCCTTGCCACATTTCTGCTTTGCAGTGATTCACAAAATACAAAAAATGCTGTCATCTCTGCATCCCCTGGCCCAAAGGTGCAGGGGGTCCTCTGGAGCCAGGTGCAATGGATGGACCCAACCCCTTGGCCAAACTAATGGTAGTTTGGTTCAGGCTCCAAAGGCAGCAAAGGCGTAGACCGTGACTTGGCTAAGAACTTCCCTAGTTTCAAGCTGTTCTCTGATAGCCCACGCAGAAACAGGGTGACATGGTGAACGTTGATGCATTCAAGCTTGGAAACTGGAACACCAAATATGTGACTAAACAATAGCAGGTGGTTCTTCCAAGACTCATTTGTCAAGGAACACAGGGAGCTGTAGGTACAAGGAGTCTTAAAGTTACCTTAAAGTTACCTGTAATTTGGCTGTGAGCCAACTGCTTTATTCCATAAATATTACAGCTTAAAGAGCCTTCTCTGAGCTCTTCCTGCTAAGCAGCTTGCTGCATGGGGTGATCTGCTTTGGAGGTGGGACACCTCTCAGGTTGCTTCTAGAGGCTGAAACACCCTTTACCAACCGCTTTGGTAAGTGACCAATATAGTGTACAACCCTGTATTATATCACACTAAGATTTTGCATTGGTAACTTTGAATCATAACTCTGTGCAGAAAATAACAGAATGAAACTTGCTTTTACAATATCTTAGTTCAATAAAATCACTACTGCTGATACCTTTGGCAATGGTTCTTTAAGTGGTCAAAATCTTCCCCATGCCAGAGGGACAATGGGCCCCGGTCTTTTGGGGGTTGTTGTCTGTCATTCTTTGTGATGGGATTTATGAGACAAGGACATGAGTGGGGATGGGCAGGCTGACTTTGTCTGTCTGTGAAATACCCATCCTGATGTTCTCCCACTCCTCAACAGGATGCACGGAGAAAATGAGGTGAAAAAGCTCCTGTATGGAGACAAAAGGCAGGGAGATCACTTACCGATTACCATCAGGGGCATATTGTGGCTTGGAAATGGTACTCCCCAATTTTAGTACTCCCACTGAGACTCTCCAAGCCATGCACCAATCACTCACTCGCTCCCTGTTCTCCCTCCCCTTTCCCCTGCAGTTGGCTGGAGAGCTGGAGGCACAAAAAGTTGAGATAAGAACAATTTACTGGAAACAGCAATGAGATAAAAATACCAAACAGTAACAGCAATACTAACGACAGGGGGTACAAGAAAGAGGCGAAAAGACACTGGATTGCTCCCTCTGCCTTGCTACACTAACTCAGAAGGGACTCCCTTTTCCGTTGCCCCCCGTTGAGGTGGTATAAAATAACATCGGGGTCCTGGCCATGCCAGGGGTCCTGGCTACTGCAAAAATAACCTTGTTAATGGCTGGAACCAGGCCTATTAAAATAGTAAGATAGTAAGAAACAAAACCAAAAATTAAAACCGCAATCCCCCACACACTCCCTTTTCCCCAGGCTCATCTTCATTCCCAACTCTTCCATTTCCTCCCGTGGAGCAGCCCAGCGGGAAGAAGGAACGGGGGTTGGGGTCAGTCCATAACCACTCCTCGCTGGCACTCCGTCCCGCTCCTCACGCTGTTTCCCTGCTCCAGGGTCCCTCCTACAGGCCGCAGTTCCTCCAGCGAACACCATCCACCTGCTCGGCCCTGCGAGCCCCCGCCGCGGTCACTCACCTCGGCGCTGGCACCGCTGTTCCTCCCTTTGCGGTTTCCGCCTCGCTCCCCTGCCCGCCCGGCGTTTTTGTCCTTTCCCAAGCGGGTTTTCCCCGGGGCGCCGCCGGCTCGGCTGAGGGGAGAGAGCGCCAAGAGGGAGCGCTGAGGCCCTTCCACAACGTGCGAGGAACACCGGGGCGAGCCGGGAAGGACCAGCAAGGCAGGCGAGTGCGAGTGCGGGCGGGGCGTGTGCGAGCCGAGAGCGCCAGCGGCCCCCCGCGGCTGGGAGGGAGGAGGGAACGAGCGGGGATCCCGCCCGGGGACCGCCCCGGTCCCGGCGGCAGCAGCGTTGTGGGGTGAGGGAGACAGCAATGTGCCCCTGCTGCCGGGGCAGCTCTGTGGACACGGGCCATGGGGGTGATAAAACGGCAGCTCTGCTGTGGGCTCAGCCACACGGCGCGGGTCGGTGGGAGCGGCTGCGTTTGCCTGTGGGAGACACGGAGCCAGGCGAGGCACGGGGGGGTCTCTCCGCAGCTAGAGTGCCCGGCAGGGCAAGGAGCATTTAACAGCGTTCTCTGAGAAGGGGGATTTATTCTCCCCTTTGTGCCCCACACAAGCCTTTCACACCCTCCTCTCCTGGGCATCTCGGCTACTGAAATCACCTCCCGCACGTCCGTGTGCTTTTTCCCCGTGTGTTCCGCCCCTTGCCCACGCCTCGCAGGGGCTGTTGCTGATTCGAAAGAAAAACAGAGGAAGAAACAAGAAATACCTGACAAACTCAGTTGTTTGGAAAAAATGGGGATGAGGGGAGGAGGGGGCAAATTAGCTATCAAATGTGAGGACCACCACCTGTGGCCTCACACTGTGTCAACATTTTAACAACGAAATCATAGAACTCCAAGGAACTGTTTCCCAATGCGACAAGAACATCTCAGGTTAATTTTTTTACACCGAAAAATGTGGTGTTTTTCTCTTCAGCTGCCCCATTTGTCTGGCTGCAGGATGCTGCTGAGCTTGACCGGGAAGCTCAACAGAAATTCAACACACCTGCTCCCCCCTTTTCCCATCTCCTTTCCCAACAGTAGGGATATTTGTATTATATCTACCCATGTGTATTCACAGTCACGCACTCATGGTGGGGAAGACTTGTCCCTGTAGGAACCCTTAGGAGCTTCACCAGCAGAATCAAGCTCTCTAAATGTCACCTAAGATTTTAATCCTTGTACATGTACATCCCTGTAGCCTAACACCCACCCAGTAAAAGCTACTCTGAGCTGATTGAAGGCTGTGTGTTATCATGTATGCCATGATAAATAAATATAACTCATGCACAAACAATTCAGGAAAAGGTCAGATACACGTGTATACTTAGCAAAATAGAAGAAAATATTAAGCATAAGATGGTTTAATTGTAACGTGTGTACTGATAGAGTTAATTCCTGTTTTCTCCTTCATGTAGAATATGAAGAAGTCAGAACCTTGGAAAAATATATGACAGTAAAACTGGTTGTAAAATTTTTGGGTTTGGCTTGTTGTATGAGTACCTTGGAGATTGTGAATTTTTTTTCCTCTTGAGGGATTTCTGTTTATTTTTCACAGCAACAAAACCCCAACAAACTGTGGAACAAAATGAAGAGGTGTTTAGCAGCATTTATATCACCTAACTAAGTTCTGTTGCTAGAATGCTACATCAGCTTTTGATTTTAAAAGTTCTTGAAGGGAAAGAAAATAGTATTGTAAATAATAAATCTCTTACCCTCAGACTGAGTTGTGAAATACCTCAGAGAATCGGTGGATACAGCTGATGAAGACAAAAAGCCATGCTGGACTATTTGTCTAAGCCACAACAGGAGAGTTTATATGACTTGACAATTTTACGTGCTTATTAGGATTTAGATGTGTTCTAGAGAAGCATAATGAGAGCCATTAGTGATTGTAGGATGCTGAAAATTGGCATTTAGAGGGATCAGGAGGAGACTGAGTTGTCTGCAGTAGTGCAACAAATAAACCAGAAAGGCAGCAAGCTGAACCATGAGGTTGCATGTCACTTTAGTTATCGGGGAGCATGTATATATATTGACTTTTGGAAACAAACAGTGAATAGAATCCAGAAAATTTTGTCTAAAATGGTAAAACATTTCTTTACTTCATCCATGTTCTAAAAATATTTCTGTTTTAAAAAAAACTTAAAATTAAAAAAATGCAGTGGTTTATTACAGGTTTTTTGTTTACTTAGCTTTAAGGGGGAAAAAAAGGCGCTAAGAAATACATTTGCTCTGTTTTTCACAGATGCAAATGAGAAATGAGGACTCATTCCAGTTTATAGAATTTCTCTATTTCCATTCTTTGTGCTAAGTACTATTTAAAAGCCATAATTAATGAGACAGAAAGTGTGAGGTCCTATAACACAGTTACCTGGTATTGTCTTCAGCCTGCTTCCCTGGGGAGCTCTAGTTTGATTATTTGTCTTCTGTTTCAGTCACTCTGGGACTGATTGTGCAGCAGTAAATCTACACTGTGCCATCCCTTCTCCTTGGTAAGTACAATTTAAAATTATGGAGAACCTCCTATCTCTCATGTTGGCTGCTCTGAACTGAATATATACCCTTCAGAACTGCATATTTTCAGAAGGTAAGTCTGGCAGGTCTCTTCTGCCTCTTGCATGACAACCAGAAGATGCACATGATGTTATAATTAACTCTTACACTTCAGCTACAGGTTCCTTCACAGATACAGCAGAAAGTCTCTGGGTTTGAGAGGGAGAACTCATGAGGATTTGTTTTATTTTACTGGGGGAGGGATGTATTTGCTCCTCTGGATCCTGTCACACAATGGGCCATTGCTCTGTCACCATGTTTGTCAGTTTTCTGGGAAACCAGCTGAGTTATAAGGGATGAGACCTATTTCTTCATCTATCTGTGTTTCCTAGCTCACTTCAGGGCTGTCTTCTGAACATACATGCATATTTGGGGCTTGAGAGAAGGCACAGACTAGATGGTAAATGGTCTTTCCACATCTTTACAGCTCAGTTGATCCTAAGAAAGATTAGTTTATTCCCATTCCTAATTTGAGTGGCACGAGATGGCCTATAGAAATTCCAAGATGTGTACTTGAATGCGCCACAAACCCGAATGCTGGTTCCTGAGCCCACAGACATCTCTGCAGAATTAGGCTGTGAGGAAGATGGGACTGCTGCAATAGGTCAGTTTAATCCATGTGGGAATAGGGAGATTAAAACCATAGGGACAGCATCTTATCTTGCACTGGTGAAGGTGATGAACGTGCTTTCATATCTCAGATGGAACCTCTCCAATGGCACAAACAAATACAACTTTAAAACAATGTGCATTCACTCTGGCAAAGCCCTGCAGAGACACTAGCTTAAGGCTGCTGATATCAGGCATCTTGAAGTGTCTGGTATGCCAATCACCACATTTCAGATTTCCCAGAATATTCTGTGTTGGAAGGGATCCACTCATCAGCTGAAATATTTAGCTGTGTAATCTGCAAGGATCATAAATAGAATATTAAATTCTTGAAAGAGCAGATAGAGGAAAATATTTCTTTTATGAGAATCATAAACAAATGCACTTCCTTACAAATCCCAACATCTTCTGAATCTGTTCTCTGAGCAGAAACATCTGTGTCATGGGTAAGACTCTTTTAATATAGCACAGATTCTGATTTTCTTCCTTCCTTAATCTGCTTTTAGCCTTGTCAGCTGTTCAAGGCTCTGCTGAAATTGCCGGTTCTTAGCCATATGCTGTGGCCACAGTGGGATATTAAGCTGTGGATGATCACCTCCAAGAAGTACTTGCTGTACGCAAAAAGCATGGGAGAACACAGGTTTTGGTGGACAAACAGTGCACTTGATGCTTGTCCTCAGAGTTGAAATTATTATGGAAGAGATGAGTGTCAAATGCGTTGCCCCTGGATTATCAGTACAGTCAAACCAAAAGCAGTAGACAAAACCCCTCTGTTTCAGGACCAAGAATATTCTCCTTTGGATAATCAGGTTGTGCAAACATGACAGTGGATGTCTGAGTCTCCCTCATTTCCCTTCCCCCTTCAGAACACACTATGGAAGGTAATTAGTCTGCGAGTCTCACTTATTTCTGAAATTTGCACACTTTCCTAGTTATATTCTACTTCATTTTTTTGGTATCGTTCCTGTGATTAAAATTCAACACTATATATTAGTAGTATATATGGAGACAGAAATGTACCACATTCTTTGTGTAGGATATTTTTGCTGAGGTGCAAGGGCATTGGGAACACATATTTGGAACAAGACACTTGTTCTTTTTTGTCAGTATGTAAAATGAGGCCTCTGATTTTGGGTGTTTGGTTCCAGATAACTGCTAGAACCTAGTTGCCAAAGGAGTCAAATTTTTACACAGCAGAGAACATGCAAGAATTCTGCCTGCTTACACTGGTAGCTGCTGATGG